TTTTTTTTTTTTTTTTTTTTTTTTTGAAGTCGTTGCGTCATGGAATTTGTTACACATTAACAGTTCGTATTCGCAACGAAGTTGCCTTTACTTTACATGCAATATTGTTTTTATTTTTCTGTCAGTTAGCAATTACTTTACTACCTGATGTTCAATTGCTATTGATTTTTTTGTTATTGTAGGTACTGTTTCAGCTGTTTGTTTTTTATCCTTTTTGTTATCAATATTACTATAGCCATGGTTACAATTGTAATTATCATTGTCGCTGTGGTTGTTGCATCAGCCTAGTGAGATAGGCTTTGATTTCATTTTTGGAGGAGCTTTACTATTTGCTGGTTTGGTTTGGCCGCTGGGGCTAACGGAATTGTGTTCCATTGGATAATTGGATTGAGCCGTCTTTATAATTATATTTTTATACACGTGTTTTATTTGTAATACTGTATTGTTTATGAATTGCAGACTATTTTGTCCCAGACCCATAATGTTTCCTCTGGTTCAATGATTGCTTTTGATATCAACGTTTCGTTTTCTACACGTTCTGTGCAAATATTTGAAGTCTATGAGCGGTTTGTGGAAAGGTTCGAGAAAAGAGGTTAGTTTTGTTGAAATTTTAAGAATTATTTTGTTTTTTTAGCACTCTTATTAAGGTCCTTAACAGCTGTAAGTTCCATCACCACAGCAGAAAGGTCATTTGGTATTACTCGTAAACTTAAGAGAAGAATCTTGGTATTGAATTTCCTTTATGTACAGCTAACAATTTCTCACTCGTTCATATCATATGCATGCTTATTTTGGACTACTTTTTTGCACTCCAATTATTATTTTAAGTGCCTTAGTTAAAAGTTACAGTAATTCCATTAGTTCTTTTACTTTTCTTCTCCTATAGTAGTACATTGAGGCTAACATTCAACGATAGTATTTAATAGTAAAGTCAGAATTTTCTTCCACTTTTTAGAAAACTTTTCTCGATTTGGTTTTTATTTCGCTGGGCGCACCAAAGAGCTGTGTAATTAATTTTTAATTAGAAAATCACAACTTTGTCGAATATTGATTATTTAAAATTTAAATGTGCCGGTTTATTAAATTTGTTCCACCTTTTCTACATCAACAGTTTAGTTAGGTCGAATTTTCCTGTTTTTATTATTACCATCTCGTTGCCAAAATTCGTTTTGAGTTTAGTTAGAGACAGCTAGTTGGTAGCTGTATGCGTAACTCCCTACCAAATTTGGATAATCACATTTATAATATTATTTCACTTAGACTAATGGGATTTTTGATTTATTGGCATTTCTGCTCCAAATGAATGTAAAGAAATCATACTTGGAATTGCCTTACATTTTATGTTTTTTATGTCAAAGTAAGGTTTTTTATACATTGATATATGATGGCTTTTTTTGTCTTAATTTTCGCCGAAAAGAGGATAGGAGCAAATTTATATTAGAGTTATA